CCTGTCCCGAACCAATCGGATTCAACACTTGCATTATCTTCTTGAATTGTCGTGTTAGTATCGAAAGCATTCGAAGTGCCCACGAACGAAGGACCGCTCATGTATTGTGATTGTGTCCAACATTCATCTTGTTGAGGAGATAAAAAGCCTACAGAATCAACTTCAGGATCCTCCAACATGCGGGAATACATTCCTTGTAAGCTTGTGTAATTCATTAACCAACTCATCGAAAGTACACGATTTTGTTATGAACAACGGTCTCGTCGCGCCTCCTTCATAAACAGGCATATTATTTTCGAGGTAATTAATCTTCCCATCATAAGAACAGAGAATTACGATTCGATCGTTCATCGTTAACTCTGAAGAGTGAAAAATTCAAGATCAATATTACACGAAAAGCAAAATAAATATTGATTGTTACTAATTTTTACATTTAGGTAGTAACTCTAATTTCCACATTAATTCATAATTTCACCTCTAAATGCACAAAATTATTTAATTTTTCTTCACATAATTCATAAATAATCCACAATTAAATTCTAAATGCGAAAATTTGTCCTTCGTAAATAATTCACAATTAAATTTGTCCTTCGTAAATAATTCACAATTAAATTCTAAAATCTAATTTATGTCATACATATGTAGTAACACTATTTTTCGCATTAATTGATAATTCCCCCTCTAATTTCACAAAATTATTGATAATTTCCACACTAATTCCACAAAAATTATTGATAATTTCCACACTAATTTTTCACAAATTTCACAAAATTATTGATAATTTCCCATTTAATAATTTCCCCTCTAATTTTCACATTTATATCCTTTTGGGTTTTTATTTGTAAAAAACGACCTATTTCGAAAAAAAATTACAAAAACCGACCTGTTTTCAGCCCAGCTCTGAAAACAGGTCGGTTTTTGTTAAAAATCTTCCGAAACTTCACGGGAGTTCAACTCCCGTGAAGTTTAATGTATTTTTAAACTTCACGGGAGTTGAACTCCCGTGAAATTTAATTTATTCATAAATCTTCACGGGAGTTCAACTCCCGTGAAGATTTATGCCCAGATGCAACAATATCGTCAGGCCGCTCGGCCTTATATAGGCTCGCAACTTCACGGGAGTTGAACTCCCGTGAAGTTGCAGTCTCAACTTCCCGAGAGCAGCCTGGCGATATTGTTGCATCTGGGCATAAATCTTCACGAGAGTTGAACTCTCGTGAAGATGTATGAATAAATTAAACTTCACGGGAGTTCAACTCCCGTGAAGTTTAAAAATACATTAAACTTCACGAGAGTTGAACTCCTGTGAAGTTGAACTCCCGTGAAGTTTCGGAAAAATTTTAACAAAAACCGACCTGTTTTCAGCACTGGGCTGAAAACAGGTCGGTTTTTGTAATTTTTTTAAATAGGTTGTTTTTTGCAAATAAAAACCCAAAAGGGTCTGTTTTGAAAATTTGTACTATTGATATATTCTCTATTGCTTTCCCGATTATTCTAAATCTCCTTATTTTCTGGATCAGAACCCATGAACTAGTATAAAATCTGCTATTTCCTCAACAACAACAACAACAACAAAATAAATATATAAAAATTAAAAAAAAAAATTACTGCTGATGACCATTGAGGATTAGTAAGATTAGAAGCAAGTATAGATGTATCCTAATCGACATTATACTTATCGTCACATCATGACAAACATACTGATATTAAACACTATTCTTTCCGAGAACTAGGACGTGAGATCACAGTTAATTCATCAAGTCACAATGTTTGTAACCAGCTCTAGATTACTTATATGCAAACTAATTAACATGCTTAACAAGATGCCGAGCTCGAGGATGAGATTCACCTTTTATGGACTCTCGCATCTCCCGCGTTCAGCTAAAGTTTTATTTATACAGGTTTATCCAACTCAACTTTGCCAAGATACAGAAGTGTTTCTTTCCCTTCTCGAATTTAGTAATCAGTTACATCTAACGCTTTCTATGTAGCCACCAAAGGGATATATATATGCTCCCTCACTTTGTATATAGCCACCAAAGGGATATGTACGCGCTCCCTCACCATCTCCGGTCCCTTCTTCCCCGATGCCGGAAGTTTCGCCGTCCCCTTCTCCGTCAAGGAAGTCGTGGAAGCCTGCTCCCAACCCCACGGCTGTCGAACTCTCTTCTCCCTCCTTCTCCGTCAAGGAAGTCGTGGAAGCCTGCTCCCAACCCCACGGCTGTCGAACTCTCTTCTCCCTCGCCATCACAAAAAAAAAATCCCTCTCCTATTCCATCAGTGGGACCCACACCCACGGCTGCGTTCCGCTCTCTTCTCTTCCGTCGATCTCTCCTTCTCCATCAACACCACCGAGACATGCACCCACTCCTTCACCAGTAGAGACGTCGCTATCTCCTGCTCCATCAACTGACACCTACACTATCACCTTCTCCTGATACAATATCTATTCATCAAGCTCATCCACCTCAACGAAGGGGTCACAACCAGCAAAGCCGCAGTGCTCCTTCAAAGGCTTTGTCAACCCCCTACCATTGAGTGACGATGATGTTAGATATAGGTGTCATGTAGGCAATAATTGTATATTGTAATAGGACCTATATGAATATAACATCCTTGTTCAAAATAATAGTATACTATTTTGGTCAGTATTTATCTGATATTTTAATATAGATAAAGTCCTTAGAATGATACTAGACTATCAGACATTTTGGATATGATCGTAATGAAGAGATCTGATTTGTCGCAAACGTATATTCTAAAATATTCCTAGTCGATGAAGTGTTGAAATGAGACTTCATCACTTTGAGAAGACTAGTGTATACTTTATTTCTCCTTTGGTAGGATGATGATCCATGCATCTCTTGGATCATTGATGCGATACATCAAAATATAGTATACAGGTGACTCATTAATTAGTGAATGAGTTGACTGAACGACTCACTGAGAATGTCTGGTTGGTAATTATACTTAACTGTCAAATAGAAGCTCTAAAGTGATATAGTACAAACTAGTCTCTTGACCTAAGGCATCAGTGCAATATCTTACATGTCAGTCTAGGTGTACTTAGACTTTTTACCTAACCACAGTTCTCATTGAGTTATGCATAACGGTTCTTGTTGGGTGCATCCCGAGACATAAGTAGATATTGAGATGTCAAGATGAGATTCGTCTCTCCTAGTATAAGGGGGTTGATGTCATAAGATTATTTGGTATAACTATAACCTAGAAATCCTTAATCAAGGTAAATAAGATAAACTGAGTGTCAGTTTGATCTTAAAGGTTATGAGTTTAATATTAACAAACACTAATCGAGCTATTAGGGTTTGATAGTTTTTCATACCCTAGGCTCTATAGTTTGACATGGTTTGACGAAGAGATCAGACTATACGGTATTATCACTGAGTGGTCCTGATAAAATTGTGTAAACATCTTGCAGACATTTATCACAACTTATACCCTGGTAGTCTTCATGTGTAGCTAGCACCTCTGTTGTACTTGTGGATATGATATAATGCCGAGTCTTAAGTTGGGTCCTAGAGTCACACCAAGCGCATACTTGAATCCTATGAAATACAATTTATAGAGTTAATGCGTATGATTGATACGCATATATGATTTTTACCGAATACACATAAACGGTTATATGTATCAGTAAAATCATAATGCTATGAGATTAAGAAATGAATTCTAGTATTTTTCCCATAAAATTAACTTTTAGTTAACTGGTTGACTTTTTTGTCAACAGTTGACTTTTGGTCAACTTATTGATTTTTTTGGTCATATGATGACTTATTAGTTAATGATTGGAAAAATTACATAATGCCGTATTTATGAAACACCGTATTGATGTAGTATTTTTATTTATAAAATACACACTTCATTATACCTTGATTAATGAGTCATGAGATGAGTCATTAATGTGGTATGGTTTGGACACATGGTTTTAGCACATATTTTTTATTCTTCATGACTCTTTGCATGACTCATGAGATGAGTCATTGCATGACTCATGAAAGGAATCATTACATTTAGATGACTCATGGCATGACTCATGAGATGAGTCATGACATATCTCACTCTATATATATGAGCTCTCTTTCTTATGGAAAGGTTAATGAAAAATTGGCTAAGTGGTTTTTTTCATAAGAGAATAAAAAAGAGCTATACTCTTACTAAACTCTAGCAATCTTTGATTAAGAGGAAGTAGTAGGATTTTATAGTACCCCGGGGTGGATATCTTGCCTTGTGTCTCAATAAGACTCCGATTTTATCGAACTCATTTGAAGACTTGGAGATCCACTACAAGGAGGTTTACAACAACAAAGAAAACTAGCTACGGGTTGTTCGATCTACCATCGAATCACGCTACAAAAGTAAGCCTTCAAAGCTCTTGGTTGCTCTTTTTTTATAGGGATCATGTTAGATTTAATTAGGATGATCCTAACGTGTTTTTCATGCTCTCTACATGCTTAGTATTATTATACATATAGTATTCCGTTGTGTATTTTGCATATATTTAGCTCGAATTTTCAACAGATGCTCTACTGTTGACGACTCCTCCGTCCGTCTCCTATTGCAGCTCCATCACCCACACCTCGTTAACATCTCATAAGTCTTACTACTGCCACAGCTGTAAAATCTGGCTCATTATTTTTTTTTTTTTTTGGTTTTAACAATATTATTAGTCATGGCCCATGGGGTTGTTTTTCGCTTTCTTTTTCTCCTAGACAATTTTTTTAGGGGGAAATAAATTATTTTAAATAGTTAATGATTTGTTGTTCATTGTTATTTTTGTGTCTGGACTTATTTGACAAGAGATTATTTGAGAATAATAGTGCGTCTCATGGTGATGCCGTACTACTGAAAGTGCCGAAATGTGTACCCATCTTCGGGACATAATCTCTACAAAAAGCCAAAGTAATATCTACAATAGAATGTAGGAGACGATCACATTTCGTTAAAGAAAGAAAGGTTCACAATCAACTACACAAAATGTCCATATTCTCAAGAAATTTTGGTGATGTGCAATAAGAATATTCATGAGAACGTAAATGGAAGTGAAATGTAAATTGAGCCTTAGGCGGCCGTCCCAGCTAACTCTTTCTCCGGTGTGGCTACCACCATTTTCTGTGGCTGCATTGCAAAGAATAATGTCAAATTCTCATTAGGAAGAAGGAAAAATAAATCTTAGCACTTAATATCAAAGATCTCGGGCAACATTACACTAGAGAAATTTGATATTTTTTCCACTTGAAATGAAGGTGGAATGTAATTTATCATCACATTCACATATGGCATCTCAAGGGTGATTTTGTCTTTTTTTTCCACTTAAAACTAAAGGACAATAGGTAATGATATCATCACATTCACACATAACATCTCAATCTAATTTGAAAAAGTACCGTTGACTCCAATAGAGAGGACGTAAGTGTTAATAAAATAGTTTAGGTGTACAAATGACTATTCTTTCTAAATAAGGAGGTGTCTGCGATTAACCCTACCGTTGCCAAAAAGTTGAATATAGTTAAACCAAATGTATGCACATACATACTAAAATACACTAGATTGTGTATTGAATTTTTATTATTGTTAAAATATAAAAATATAACCATCAACTCTCACAACAACTTCGGAGTTTTGGTATAATGGTTAAAGAGACTTAATTTAAGATGGTATCAGAGCAACCTGGGTCAAATCCCTCCGGACACGAATTTAGGGCGCTCAACTTGCGGGGGTATGTTACAATATAAAAATATAACCTCAGCTCTCTCCACAGCTTCAGAATTTTGGTCGAATGGTTAGAAAGACTTAATTTAAGAATTCTTTATGAGAATATTAAACTGAATGAAATAATAAAGCACCAAAAAGATATCTTCAACGCAACCAGTTCTACGGTAAATGACTTTATTTTTCGAAAGCAGTTATGAGCAAATAGCCTAAGTAGGTCTTAACTAATACAAATAGTAAAGGTGAAAGTTTGCAAATATGATTATCCTAATAACTTATATATCAAAACTACTCTTTACACCTTTCCATGAAATCTAAGACTCAGATTCCTCCAAACATTGATTCATACTCATCAGCGTCAGAATTTTTCTCAGTACTCACAGAAAATGCTGAATTTGAAACAAAAATTTGAAAAGAGATTAAATGTCACAAATGAGGTGAAACAGTTAGATACTCACAGCAGCCAAATCGTTCTCGTGCTTGGGTATGAATGCAGTATCAACCTTTCCGTTTCTAAAGTCCTGCAATCAGAGATCAGTATAGAATCAGCAAATTTATTTAAGGAGGTTAAAATCCAACCTTCATTAAGTCCATTGAGAAAGAATGTCAGCAATGAAAGATTAGAGAATTTCATACCTCAATATCAAGGATCAGTTTATGGTAATCAATTGTCGTAGGGATTCCTGTCAATGAATGGAACAGTGATCAATTGAGCATGTAATATCGAAATAATGCAAGGTAGATATTGATAATAATATGTTTGTAACCTTAAATTTACTAATAGCCTATAAAACTTAACGGAGTCCCTATTATGGAAAAAAGCAAGAGATATGACTACCCCATTTTGATGGGAGGGTTGGATGATGATGATAAGAGATAAGAAGGCAGCAATGTAAAGTTTGAACCTAAATAGCCAAGAACATTGCAAAAGATATACTCTATCGGTGTCATGAAAAAAATAAAAATCTACTGTCACAAATATTTTCATTTATAAATTCATGAAAAAATGTTAAACCTGTAATAACAGTGTCGTCAAGAGCTCTTTTCATTCGTTCAATGGCCTTCTCTCTGGTGGGAGCCCATACAATAAGCTAAAATCAAAGAAAAAAGCAAAATGTTATAACTGCATCCACTAAAACTCGCCTTTTTCTTTTCCCAAAAAACTAGATACAAACTCCTATAAAACGATATTTGTCTAATGCACACATAAAAGTTTTACAAGGTAGATAGTAAACTATGTGTGCAAGTCATAAACTAGAGAATGCACCTTTCCTAGTAAGGAGTCATAGCTTGGAGGAACAACATAGTCAGGATAAACATGACTGTCCATTCTTACAAACGGACCTCCGGAAGGCAGATATGCTGTGATTCTCCCTGTAATAAGATACAAAAATTACTAAGATGACAAGGCTCGTAAATGCAAGTACATTTATCATTAACTTTGACCAGACAAATCATCAAAAAATGGAAATACAAAAAGCATAAGGAAAAATTTAAGGGTTATTTAACTGATTAATTAAACAACATGTATATTAACTTACTCTCTTAACAGTTTGAAAACATACTATATTAGTCTCTTCTCAAATTTGTTCCAGAACTTAAAAGCACTGAACGGTACTTCAACATGTGAAACTGATTTACTCGTTAAGAATTTTACCATACATAAATTTCATGGAAGACAATGATAGATTTTAGTCAATTTTTATCTAACGAATACCAATGGTCACATGTGAGAATGCATATTGAAGCAGCACACTCAGAGATAAGAATATAATTTGAAAATTTTAACAGTATAGACATGATTGACATTCTGATGAAGTGTTCTTAAACCAGCATTTGCATTATTACACAACAAAACTTGACAAGTAAAAAAGAGATCAATTTCCACTGGCAATAAATAATAGTGAGATTGCTAGCCCTCTAACACCATGAATTAATTAATATCATTCATATAGAGTTTTGGATATATAAATAAGAGATAGGATAAGGAATGAGTGTTTTCGTTGAAGGTTGTAGGTCACCGCGATTGAGGATTAAATGACAGAATCAATTGAGATGGTTTGGTTATGTGCAACAGAGGCCCGTAAATAAACCTTAAGAGCATTTGATGGGGTGAGGAGTAATAAGTAGGCCCAAGAGAACTTGATTAGGAGAAATTAAGAAGAATGTGACAGTAATTAATTTAACAAAGGAGATAGCGTTAACAAAACTGAATGGAAGAATAGGATTCCGATAGCAGACTTCAAAGGTTCCAGGTAAAAGTTTTGCTGTTGTTGTTCATATAGAGATGTGGTCAGTGGCGGATCTATGTTGTCTAATGACATCACAGGACACTGCTATATTGTCTACTTTCTAGATACTTTTATTTACTTTTATCTATATTATTACTTAGGACACCACTTAACTTTGCGTAGAACACCACACCACTTAACTTTGCGTAGAACACCATGAAGGACGATAAATTGTAAAATTGTCAATGTAGGTTCCAAATGCAATTATATTTTTTACTTTTAATGAACTAATAAGTTATATAAGCATGCAACTGAGACAAAATCATGCCCCCACTGCATGTGGTTTATTAAGAGCGAAACAAGGAAAAACCAATACCTGGCCCCGGTCGAAACCCTTTAAAGGCATCTTCAGCATTTATACGACACTCGATTGAGTGTCCTCTAAGAACAATATCCTCCTGTAAATAATACAACAGAAATATTAGTCAAACAGTACTATAATTAACTGTCATAATCAAACTGTAAATCACCATTTACCTGCTTGTATGTCAGTCTCTCTCCAAGAGCCACACGAATTTGCTCTTCAATCAGATCAGTTGAAGAAATCATTTCAGTTACAGGATGCTCGACCTGGTTTGTGCATGAGATGATAATGTTTTGTAAGCAAGATATTATACCATTACAAAATTAAAAGAAAAACTAAATAGTTTGATTGTCCACACCTGGATCCTAGTGTTCATTTCCATGAAGTAGAAGGAACCTCTTTCATCCAAGAGAAATTCCACAGTTCCAACACCAATATAACCTATAGATGCAGCTGCTGCTACAGCAGCATCACCCATTGCTTTACGTAGTTCTGGGGTCAAAGCAGGAGATGGAGCTTCCTCAAGGAGTTTTTGATTTCTTCTCTGTCAAAAAGGTCAAAGGAAGTTAAAATGGTTAGGGTCAGTGAAGAGTGTAATAGATTTCTATGCATGTGGAGAAAGTTTTCTTGCTTTTTATCTAGTAGAGCATAATGATTTTGAAGCTGATGTCGAATAAATTGTTGTTGCTTGTCATGATTAGATGTATATTATGACATTTACTTTAGTTGAATTTTATTATTTATATAATTTACTTATTCATAGCTGGTGGATGCGGCAAAAAAAAAGTAATCAAGAGGCACTTAGAAGATGTTTAAGCCAAAAAGTTAAAAAACAATGTCTAAGGATTGACACTTAACATGTACCTAGCTATTTGTTCTTTTGACAAAATTCAGATGTACATGAGTAAGAAGTACCTGAATACTGCAATCACGCTCCCCAAAATGAACAACATTTCCATACTTGTCTGCAAGAACCTATAAGCTAGCAAAGAATTCTGTTAAGTTTTGAAAATTAAAAAAAAAAAAGAACAAGATGACCAATAAATTAAAATTCTCCAGGCAGTTGCATGCAAGAAATGCAACAAGCAGTTGAATTAACCTCACAACTTATTTATTGGGAGAATAGAATGCATAAACTTTTCCCCGAGCACTTGAACTCAATCAGTTGTCTTTTTTTAATAAAGAAAAGAGGGTTAATTCCCAAAATCATCTCTCAGGAAAATGTATGTAAGACATGCACACTGCAGTTGGATTAGCACGACTACCACAAGTTGTCAGCACTGTTATAAATAGTGGTAAATAGCCTCGAAATAGCAGCGCTAATAGCGTTAACGGTCCCCTCCCACTACGCTATTGCCCAATAGCGGTGACATATTATAAAATATATGCTTTTCGTTCGCAAAAACGGCCAATAGTGTGCCATAACGGTAAATAGTGGGCGATTGCATGCGAAATCTGCTTTTTGGCTGCTATTTAAAAGCGGTTAGAGGTGTTTTTTTAAATTAAACTTGACCCTTGATTATTGCATTCCACCGTCTCCTGTGATTTCGACATTTTCCCGCCACCTCTCATAGCCTCTAGCACCTACCTCAGTACTTCCTCTCATCTCCTTCACCGTGAGTTCCTCTTAGGGTAGTCCTCTCACCGCTCAGCTCTTCTTCTCGAAAACGACGACTCTTTGACTCCTCCAGTCATATTTGGTATTGCGTGATGGTTACAAGTCTATTTCATATTTAGGATCTCTTTAAATCATCAAATATATACTTTTAGATTTTTTAGATTTTTCTTTAATCTTTTTTTAGTATTTATACATATCTAAATTAGATCGTTATTTGACTTTGCGTTTTTTACCGCTATTTTGTCGCAATAGCCCCAAATAGCCTTAGCGATGCCTCACCGCTACGCGACGCTATCCACTATCGATAACTTTGGTTGCCAGTAACAGAGTGCATAAATTAGTCCATGAAGAACCTGAATTCAAGATGCATTCTTATTGCCAGTAAAATTTTTCATAAATTAGACTATGGAGCACCTGAACTTAAGCTGTCATAGGTTAATTGGATGATATGGAAAGCGCGCTATCCAAAATTCTCATACAAATGCTAAATTATGTATCAACTTAATCATTCAAGTTTCTCATCAATACAACGTAGAGGGAAATACATCACGAGCAGCTTTAGATAAAAGCTTGCCTTTGAGAATAATCACGTCATAAATTTGGCCAATAAATAGCATATTCAACGTCAACGGAGAATTTAAAATAAAAATAAAAAATATATTGCATTGTAATTTCCTCCTAGAATAGGTAGCCAACAGATGTAGATAAAAGCTTTTAATAATCAAGCACTTCACGAAATTAGCCAATAAATAACATATTCATTATTAACGTGAATTTACGATCAAAAATAGAAAATATAGTGAATTATAATTTTCCACATAGAATATGTAGCTAACTACACCATCTCATAACTATACCTGGAACTCAATGTGCCTTGGATTTTGGATGTATTTCTCCAAATAAACACCATCATTGCCAAATGCAGCTGCAGCCTCACTCTTAGCTTGCTGCAATATGCAGTCAGATTTGTTAATACAAGTATACAACATATTAAAAATAAATAAATAAAAAGTTTCAAGACTACTTAAATGGGGGGACATCATGAAGCTATAATCTACATAGTTTAATCTTAATACCAGTGATAATTCACCACACATTTGACCTAGAGATAATTTCTGCAAACAATCGCCAAACGAAGCATCTGCCTTCTTAGGTCTAGATATAATTTCAGTCAAAAGTGAAGAGGCCATTCCACTCTTCAATTTTAAGTGATAAAAATAAGCATTTCTTTGCACAAAGAAGCAAAAGCCAAACAATGTAATTTCACATTCAAAGTATTACGCAATAAGACAGCTATAAAGATTGTGACAAGCTAGCATGATCTAGCTGTCTATGTATTGTATTCTACAGTACATGAAGATTAGAAAAACATGGGGGCTTTGAGACTCTATGGTGTGCTTCGGGACTCTATGGTGGTGATCTCAATGAGCTAAATGACATTGATGAGGTGTTAGGTTAATGGCCAAACAGTAAATATTATTCATATGAGCTGTCCATGTCAACATCTGACATAACAGACATCAGACCCTGCTCAATAGACTGGAAACACGTTGAGTGTTTATAAGGCATGACCATATTTGAGTCGAAAGATTAAAACAATCACACGAATAACTATCCTACCATGTTGGCTTAAAAATGAGCTCCATGATGGATACGGGCTAAAACGAACCTTTGAGAAAAAACTTGTGATATAGATTGAGATCATCCCAGAAAGCAATAAACAACATTCAGATCATGTGAGAGAAGGGCAGATTTTACTTGTCTCAGGTGAGTTGTGTGCAGAATTGTTTCTCTTTTTATTTTATTTCCAGAATCCAAGGACTATAAGCACCAAGATTTGATCTGATTTAGTGAGTAGACATTCATGATATCATCTATACTCATGCAGCCATGCTTCACGGCCCTTATCATATTCTTAAGACACTTACTAGTTGAGATGCACGTGCAATGCACGTGGTTAAATATTATGATTATTTAAATTAATAAAAATAGAATAAAAATAAAAAGAAACTAAAGTTTTTTTGGGATTGATCATCAGCTCAATAATCTCTCTCTCAACTGAAATATCGTCATTATTTCATTCAACCCAGACTGTGACCACGTGATCTACTATTTGTGAGTTATAAACACATTAATCTAGTACATCTCTGTTTATTAGTATCTTGAAGTCTTCAAAAGATGGGTGATCATTCAATTCTTAAAGGAATTTTTTATATGAATTTATTTGCAATATATCCATTAAACTTTTAATTGTGGTTTGACTCATTCACATTAACTTTTAGTTGTGATTTCACTCGTATGTACATTATTTAATATTCTCATTCAATTTTATAGTTCATTTTTTGTATCATAGAAGTAAAACTAAAAGTATGAAGAATTATTTTATTGCGAAATTAGAGCAGGGAGATTATGATATATTTTACCATGTGTTCTAAATATAAAAATTCATTTTCCTTTTGATGCAAGGTCCCTATCAAATCTTACGCTAAACGATGTGAATGAAAAATACTATTATAACTCACTTGCCTAGGGTAATTGTATTGTATATAGAACGTATAACTCATCTGAAATATTCACATCAACTAAGTGGATTTTGCTGTTGTGAGAGCAACATGTTAGAGACTATTATTCAAACTTTTTGACTCTATAAAAGACACAAGAATTTGGAGTGCATAGCTAATATGTCGTAAAGAACATATTAGTTCATGAAGAATTTTCCCTAATAACGATATTATTACAACAATATTACTATTTAATATTAAATCAATTTTATTATATAAGATTATATGACCATTTTTAATAAATTATAAAGTATATATAGAGAGAGAGAGAAATATGGGTATGCTTGGTACCAAGCACAAATTTTGTGCTTGGTAGTGAGGTGGCACAATCCACTCTACTCATTCAAATGGGGGACCACATTCACATGGGTTGAGGAGTGTATTGGGATATGCAACTTTTTGAATGAGTGGAGGAGATTACGCCACCTCACTATCAAGCATCGGTTTTTGTGCTTGGTACCAAGCATACCCATTTTTCTCATATATATATAATATATATATATATATATATAAACCTCAATGCTTATAGACAATTGTTGGGCTCCACAAAATAGGTTAAGTTTACATTGTAGTTTACTATTTGTTGTATTGTTGACAATGGCATTACATTTTCTCTTTATCTTATTATTCACGTTTTTCTGATGTAAGTTCTCTTTTGCTAATCACTTAATTGGTTATATTTAGTTTTTATATTATCAGAGGTTGGAATATTCTCTTCTGTTTAAAAAGTGTTGATGCGATATTCTTAAATAATATATAAACATAGTAGCAATAGTATATACTTCAGTTCAACTCAAACATTGGCTTGAAGTTATTTAAGGTGAGGTCATTTCTACGCTAGAATGATGAGATAGTGATTACACAATCCAAAAGTCAGAGAAAAAATTTCTACAAAGGAAAATTAATTTAATATGTTAAATTAACAACTAATTTATAAAATATACATGGGTGGTGCAGATAGCTATACAAAGTAAAGTATATATCTTTATAAAAATTTCATAGTGAGTGACCAACTACAATCATCCTAATTTAAGCATAAATAATTATTATTTTAGTTATTAGTTTGATACACGTAACTATGGAATAAATCTCAAAAAAATAGAAATTGAAATTATATTAAATTTAAAAGTAATAATTTAAATTATTAAGCGCCAAATATTAGTTCATGTGAGAAAGTAAAATAATATATGGTCTATATACATATATGGTCAATCAATCAAACGTATTATAATTATGATGACCACAGTCAAAATTATATGGTGGATTCACATTAAATATAATTTATAAAAAATAATACATTAGAGTCAAAATCCTTTTAACCACTATATAGATTGTCTGAAATTTTTTGTATTTATAAATTACACTGCTTAGGAACAGTGATGTGTTGTACACTTAACTATGGCCTAATAATCTTAAGAACGACTTACTCTTTAATATCATCATTAATTGATGTATCTATGCATTACACTGAAAACATTAAAAAAATTTAGAAAACTACAAAAAAACACCCTCAAAAAGTTTTAAAATTTGTAAAAAAAATATCCTAAAATTTTGTAATTTACAAATACACAAAACTATTAAACATTACATTGAAATCAAGGAATTATAAAAAATTATTGAAAATTTTTAAACTTTGAATGGGTAATTTACAATGTGCAAAACTTTAAGGGTGTTTTTTTATAAATTTTAAATTGAATAGATTTTCAATCATTTATGTTCTTTTCAAAAATATTATGGGAAACATTAACCATGAAAGATTTTTCCTAAACCTATATTTTTAAAGTGAGTATGATATTTTTATAATTTTTAATTTTTTAGGGGTTGTTAGTAATTTTGTATATCTATTTTAGTGTCTATAGGTTAGAAATTCTCATGGTGTTTTTTATAAATTATGAATTTTAGTGGTTTTTTGTAATTTTTTAAACTTATAGACCTTTTTTATAGATTATAAATTGTTTATAGACTATTTATAATTCATATGCTTTCATTTACTAATGAGTTTGAAATTCTCAGGGTGTTATTTATAAATTTTGAATTTTAAGATTTTGTTTGTAAAGTTTGAAATTCTCAGGGTGTTATTTATAAATTTTGAATTTTAAGATTTTGTTTGTAATTTTTGAAACTTCAAGGGTGTTTTTCAGGGTGTTATTTATAAATTTTGAATTTTAAGATTTTGTTTGTAATTTTTGAAACTTCAAGGGTGTTTTCTATAAATTATAAATTATGTAGGGATATTTGTAATTCCTATATTTTTAATGTACTATTAGGTTAGAAATTATCATGATTTTTGTAAATTTTACAATTCTAAGGGTTTTATTTTGCAATTTGTAAAAACTTCAGTGTTTATTGTAAATTCCATAAATTTTCGAGGGTTTTTTGTATTATTTGTAGGTTTTTAGTGCGTTTATAGGTTTGAAATTTTCAAGGTGTAGTCTTTTTGTAATTTTCAAAACTTCCAAGATATTTTCTCCAAAGTCAAAAAACTTTTAGTTTCTTGCTAGCATATGTTTTTCAGATATCTCAATGAATTGAAATAAGTAAAATTTATAATTTTTAAGATGTTTTAATAAAATTTTAAATTTGTAGGGTTGTTTTTGCAATTTAAAAAACTTAGAGGGTATTTTTTACAAAGTCCAAAAAAATTTAGGTACTGGCTAGCATATGTTTTTTAGATTTCTCTATGAACACTGAAATAAGTAAAGGATTTGAATTATATCAAACATATTTTCTTTATTCAATAACATGTTAAGTCTCATTATGAATATGATAAATCATTTAGTTACTAATTCAAAGAAAATAGAATAATTAGAATAGATTAGAATAACAATGTAATATTTAAAAAAATTAAGGGTAATATTGACCATAGAAAGATTTTCTCGAACTCGTACTTTTAAAGGGAGTATGATATATGTCATGACACACCTATATTCCCATGACAGTCCCATGCCCAAGTGAGGCCTTATGGGATATTCTGGTCACAGCAGGTTACAGTCGGGAAGCTCAATTTTGGTTAGTTAAGAGCTTGTTCAAGCTCATTCGATAACCAAGATGAACCAAGCTTGAACAAAAATCTACTTCCACTAAAATAAATGTAAAGCCTTGAGTGTACCTTAGTTGGGCTATGTTCATGCCCAAGCTCAAGTTGTTAAAGGCTTGGACTGGCTTGACTAGGCTAAATTTAGGCTTCGTTGATCAATAGCTTATTAAATTGCAATTAAGCTTCAGTCTTAAGATGCATTTATTTAGTTGACTTTTTGGTACTTCTATTCTAACTATGTGATTTGACCATAAGCTGCTATAAACTATAACTCTTGGTCCTCGTCAAATGAATACCAAGTCTAATATTTCAATTGCCACTGAGATCTGAACTGGGGTTAGGTTAAGGAACGCCCCAGGTTAAGACCAAGTTACGGCCTTATAGGGGGAAAAAGACATCTAAGTATGCATTATATAACATGTCAAATAGGTAGCGTGCATGAGCTCATCAACAAAACAAGAGATTACTATACTCGAGGAAGTGGCTCTTATTGCATTATTTGCTTTATTAACATGTTATGGTTTATCATTTAAAGCTATTACATGTCGATAATTTTCATTCCTCAGCTTGAAAAAGATGTGATGTTTATGTTATTTTGGCATATATTTGAAAGGTATCCATTCTATTGTATAAAGAACATACTAGGGCTAACAAAAAATTGGAGGAATGATGAACAAGTGTCCTTCATAGTTATAAATCAAAGGGTAGAATGATAATTCTACACTAATTTAAAATGTTAAAGTGATACTAAGTGTTACCTTTTTATTCTACTTTCTTATTCTCTTATCTCCCCTTTTTACTATCTAGATTCTATCTGACATCTCTTTTCACATTTAATCTCAAAATATTATCATTAAAACACCTACTTCAGTTATGGCACATTTAAGAAATTAGATCCTCAAAAAAAATTATTCGGAACATTAACAAATTTAGTTACTGAAGTATACCAACAACTAATGTTGATTATTCTTGACAGACATCATGAACCAAATTATGATGTATATGGATGCATCTGTGATCTGAATATGTCAGAAAGGCCGCTCTAATATTCTGCTTTTGGAAGATTTTTTTCTGTTGATCACAATGCCTTACCCTGTTGAATTTCTCAAACTATCGGCCGCCCTCACATGTATGAGTGCTAAACCGTATCCATATCTGAGGAAATTTACGGATATGGATATGGTTACTCAAATCTATAACCGATAGGATATAGTTACGAATATGGTTTTGTAGTGAAATATCTGGATCCATATCCGAAATATCTGAATACATATTAGTCATATTGTCACGATGGTCATAATCTTTAGATTATGGATTTGAGGTTAATTTTGAAGTTCAAGATGTCTAATCTTAGCTTTTCAGATATAATGAACTCTTTTGCATCATATGAACTATATTTTTTTCTACACTACCTAGTTTTCTCATATCCATTTTATATTCGCATGCATATCTGCTTATATATCTGCATGTACATCCGTATCCATATCTGGTTTTAGTGGATATGGATATGAATTTTCCTTATCGAGGTATATCTGTGACCATATCCATATTCAAAATGAGTAAGCGGATATGAATATGATAAGCATTATATCTGAGCCTTATCCCGACCGAATGCACCCCTACTCACATGAAATAGTTTTCAGTTGACAAAGCACATTATTTAACAATAATGCCACATAGACGACTTTTATGCAGTCACAAAATAATCTAAGGAGAAATGATTCCATGGAATTGTATGTAACCGGACATAATTACATTAACAACAAATTATATGCCAGATAAAATAAAAAATATAAATTCAAAAGCTCATATAAAGTAGAAAATTTTAGCAACTAGCAGACCTGAAGCAACTTTACAAACTCCTCAGGTTCCTTTGCCAGTCTCATTCCACGTCCTCCACCTCCAGCAGTAGCCTTGAAACAAATAATGAAAAAGAAAAGGAATACAGTCAGGGAATACAGTCAGGTTGTGTTGTTCCTATGAGAACCTACCTTAATGAAAGGTTTAGTTCAATGTTCAGCCAGTGAGTAGATATTCTTAGCCATATAGAAGCATAACCATCAGACTCAAACAAATACCAGTCTCTAAAGAGGATGAACTAGAAGGACGCTAAGAGAATCAAACAATATACATTCATTCTTAAGTCAGAGATGTATAACTTAAAAATCAATTGTTGTGCTTTTAAATGTTGTATACCCCTTAATCTGAAACTTCTGTTCTTAAAAGTCTTGTAGGTAGCTAATTCTTAATGTAAATTAGAAGAGTGCATCTACTCAACAAAAGCTAAAAGAATCACTTTGGAGCCAACTACATGAAGCACATACTGAGATATAAAGTCCTGAAGCCTCCAAACAATTGCTGTAAATTAGAAGTATCACATAAAAAGAGCAGCGTGAGGTTTGTTCATGGAGAAACTAAAGATAAAATCATAACCCATTATTAACTTTCACTTTAACTTAAGTCTCTTGGGAAACAAGACTTAAATACCCAACAGTCTTCTAATCTATGAATCATTCGTGCATAAATGCTTTCTATTGCCTGTAATTTCTACATATTTTTCCACTGGTAATAAAACCATCTTGGTTACTAATGTTCACATCAGAGCAAAAACTGAAGAAATAGTATACCTTGATCATCACAGGATAACCAATTTCATCCGCAAGCCTGATAGCCTCTTCCGTGCTCTAAAAATTTCCAATCATGCAGGATAAGAAGGATTAGTAAATTGATGTTTTGAACTTGTTGCTATTAGTGAGGTCTATAATATTGAATGTAGGAAGTAAAAATTAGAAAAATGTTGTAGAACCTGCAATAGGCCATCACTTCCAGGTACAGTTGGAACACCTGCTTTCTTCATTGTTTCCCTGGCAGTAGATTTATCACCCATGACTCTGATGCTGTCAGGCTACAAAGTTTTATGTTGTCAAACAATTAGACTGAACTTAGATCAAGGAGAAGGAAAAGGTGCATGCACACTGTAAAAAGCATAAGTTTCATCTACATATATAGCATTTTTTTAAGACTGGCAAGAATGCAAACAGAGTAAATTATATTCGTTAAAACGGTGACAAAAATTGCTCATTAGCTTCTGACTGGTAGGTGGACATATACTTAATCCCATGTACAGCCATCAGCTACGATGGTGCCCAAAGAAAAACACATTGTCTTACAATATACATCCACTTCAACTTGTAAAGTGGTATAATAATATCATTTACCCAGTTCAAAACTGGCTTGCCTCAATAATTCCCTTGTCTAATCAAGTATTGCAAACAAAAGTAAAGCCACTGGTTTTGTCAAGAGAGATGGGTAATGGAGCACCACCCAAGTCAATATTGGTCATGAAAAACAATTGTTCTTCAATAACTTTTAAGGACAGACTAGCATAAGGTTAAAGGTTCAAAACAGACAAACATTATCTGAGAATACAAAAAATAATAATAAAATTTCTCTCTTCCAGTATCATCAACAATGTTTCAAATCTTAAAGGAAAACATGAAGAACATGGATGCAACACCCATTTTATGGTGGGGTGACTGCTTAAGTAAGAGGTACGGTAGAAAACAAATGGAGTCTCAAAACCTCACGAGAAACTGAAATCGAATATGCTTAGCTTACAATTCAACAGATACATGTATTATACAGAGTAGGAAAACCATAAAGTACCATAGCAATATTTTCACTTAATCAGGTTTTATTTCTAGCTCCACTATCTTTCTCAAAGAAAGGTAAGTAGGATTACACCTTTTAAGATTTAAGTTCACAAAAGTATTCTCATAAAGTTATACTTACATTAGGTCCAATAAAGTTGATTCCATGTTCTCTGCATATGTCAACAAAACCGGCATTTTCAGCAAGGAAACCATACCCAGGGTGCAACATGGTGCATCCACGACTAACGGCAGCAGATAAGACATTCGGAACAAACAAGTACCTGTAGATTAATTAGGAAGAAAGATTCAACCTAACCTCAAATGAGACGTACAGTGTACAAAGTAACTCTAAGTTAGACTCCGGAAAGGGTTAAATCTGAATAGACGCCCTGTACCATCACCCCTGTACCATCACCCATTTGTAGTTATATGTGGTGGATAGACCACCCATTACCATCACCCAGTTGCGGACAGACCCCCTAACTGAAATCCTTTTAATTCTTTTAGCTTTCGAAGGTCTATTTGTCAAAAAAAAAATTGTCTCTTTCTCCGAGAGAAAGAAGCAAAAAAGGTTCAATGAGGGGGTCTATTTGATAGTGGGCGATAGTACAAGATGTCTATCCACAATTAACCCTTTTGAAAATTAAAGGAGAAAGTTATATCTTCTTACGATTGACTGCTTGGTGCTTCCCCAATGCAAACTGCCTCATCTGCAAGTCTCACATGAAGAGCATCCTGATCAATTGTGGAGTAGACAGCAACACATGGTATGCCCATCTCATGTGCAGTTCTGATGACCCTAACTGCAATTTCACCTCTGTTAGCAATTAGAATCTTCTCATCACGACAAGTAGCACTTAAAGCTCCACCACATTTCTTAGATCTCCGGGCGGTAAAAGTAGCCCTTTGCCTTGGAAAGCTTATCTTATGAAAGTTTGGATTATTTCCCACCATAAAGCTACATTGTGAACTCCTAATTCCTCTGCCTGGTCCAACAAATAACCCCTTTGAGGGTAAACGCAGAAAATGAATTTAGATATTTACATCATATTAAAAATAAATCATGGTAAGCAAAGAGTTCACTACGTGATTTTTCTAAATGCTGTGATGAAGCAAAATGGATTAAAAAAATGAGAAATACAACTACCAGATGTAAGGAACAAAAATAGCACAGACAAAGTTATATTTTAACACTTACATATTAATAAATTTCTATAATTGGTATATCAAAATGATACTATCTTTCTCCTCCAAATATCAAATAGCTAAAAGTAAAAAATCATCTTAAAGACACTGTTACAGACAAACATATATATATATATATAGAGAGAGAGAGAGAGCAAGACTCCTATCAACTTAAGTGGATAGGGAATAGTTGTCCACCAAACTTTCTATCCACACACATATATATATATAAAAAGTCACTTCATATCATGCAAGGATCCCTAGGAAACATCTAATGGTTAAGAAGTTTGGTGGATGTCAACTTAAGTTGACACAAGTTTTCTTCTATATATATATATATATATATATATATATATATATTTTCTAACTTGAGACAGTCCACTCCAAGAGTCCTCGCAAGATCCATTAGTAGATCTAATATATTACTTTAAGATTGTTGGAAATTATGGTTAAATCTAGAATTAAATAGTGAATGATGATGTACTGTTATTTTAAACTTTTTCAATTAACTGTTGTGCGTTTGTGAAACGCTGTGCTTAAAGTAATATTTGGCCTACTCCGGTGCAAGGATCCCAAGGCCAAACTGCTTCCAGGAACAGCAGTAAAATACTCTGGTGTGTACCAACTCAGTACTGTCAAGATCTCCTCGATCTATAAGACCTTTCGGTCAAGGCAAAAGATCTCCTCGATCTCAGAACATTTCGGTTCAAAACCTTTCGATTTCGGGTTCCTGCGAGCACAGTTTCTACAGCAGCAGCACAACAACAGCTACAACAACGTCGATCCGACGTTCGTTTTCAAAACTTGCGTGCGTATACCGACATTCGTATTCTATACTGACGTTCGTATTCCACGCTCGCGAGGGAGTTTTTAACTGGAACCAAAAGCTGCCCAATGGCGCTATTTATAGGCCTCTAAGACCAGCTCAAGAGTCACTAGCAATTAATGTGACTGTTACAATTCTTATGACAATTAAGATTGTAACATCAATGCATTAAATTGCTCTTAATGCTGTTGTAACTGTTGCATGCAGTAACTGCTGAATACGAGGCAATCAATGAACGCGTTGCTACGAAACGCGAGGGTCACGTCTCAGCAAATCAGACGAACCTCGTTTGACAAACGAACGTCGTCAAACAGGCGAACCTCGTATGACAGACGAACCTCGTCGAACGAGCGAACATAGTCAAACAGGCGAACCTCGTATGACATACGAACCTCGTCGATCGAGCGAACCTCGTCTAACAGGCGAACCTCGTATGACAGACGAACCTCGTCGAACAAACGAACATCGTCAAATAGGCGAACCTCATATGACAGATGAACCTCGTCGAACGAACGAACCTTGTCAAGCTACGAGAACGCTAGGGTCACCCTCGTGCGAATACGTAGCTCGTCCGTATGCTACGAAGCAGCCTGCGAGGCAACCTTCGTGACAACCAACATGGTGCCAAACAACGCCACCTCGCCCCGATGCCTCCGTGCGAAGTGCATCTAACAAAACGTCACTTAGCGTCTCAGCCCGATTAGCCCCGATCCCCGGCCCACTAGAACTTATGAGAGATTAATTCAAATAAAACACTTCTCGGCTTGTCGTTGGTAAGCCTCAAACAAGGGATCTTTTGAAACACCAAACCATAAACTTTCCACTAGGCTACTAAGAATTTATGAAAGTACTTGTAGTTAATATATATATAGTTAAAAAACTCATTTTGGAAAGAAGTTTTGACCAAAAAAGCCAACAATATATATATATATATATATAGAGAGAGAGAGAGAGATTAATGGGTATCCTTGACAAGGAGGGAGATTCTCTCGTTGACAATGATGTGACACAATTCTCACCATGTGAAATTCTCTCTCCTACTTTATTCTCTCTCCTTCACATGGTGAGAATTGTGCCATGTCATTGTCAAGGAGGAAAATCTCCTTCTTGTCAAGGATACTCATTAATCTCATATATATATATATATATATAGAGAGAGAGAGAGAGAGAAATGGAAAAACTTGGTACCAAGTTGCTCCAAGCAACTTAGTAGTGATTATATATATATATATATATATATATATATATATATATAGATAGATAGATAGAGAGAGAGAGAGACACATATGAAAGAGTGAAAAGATTAAAGTACTCTATTATTACCGCTGAATCTAGTAGCTCTGAGTTTTAGGAGTCCCCGAGCAACAAAACCAAAACCCAAGAAGAAATTCAATATAGAAATTTCCCCCATCTACATCCGATAAAAGTTACCCCTTTCAACACTAAAATTACAATACACAATCCAAATATTCATAAACAATCAAAAGGAAAAAAGATGCAATGTAGACCCGCAGAAGTGCTTCTTCTCCAATATAAATTGAAAACGGAAGTAGAATTAGAAAATGAACAGCATGTAAAACCCAATTAAAAAACCACTACCCAAATTATATTCAATGATATTCATCTAATTAACTTCATATTTACCTCCTATCCACTGTAAAAATTAATGCAACTACAAGCTCAAAGTCTAATTCAAATTAAAATAGTATACATCTTTAAAATCTACATAACCCAAGTGAGAAAAATCAATTAAAAGAACAATGAAAAGATCTAGACATCAAATCTTAAGCAATGAACACCGAAACTCACAGGAGCCGAGCACACAGACTTGCATACAATCATAGAGTCCATTCTCCACAATCCCCTACAAAACCCAAAACAAATTACAACAAAACAAGAGTCACCTATTTCGATTTAAGCACAAAGAACCCATTTTTCTCATTGAATCCATGAATCTGGGTTGAAAATTACCTTCAAATACAGAAATTTTAGAGAGCTTTGGGAATCGAGGAAGTGAGTTTTGAATGAGAAAGGGTTAGAGAGCGTT